AAGAAAGAAAGAAAGAAAGAAAGAAAGAAAGAAAGAAAGAAAGAAAGAAAGAAAGAACGAACGGACGAACAAACGAAAGAAAAGTTATAGTAAAACTATTTCAGTGAAAACAATGGAGCCAATATATGAACGTTTATCGCAAAAGGCATAGCATGGCCCCTAGAAACAGTCCAACAAATTATGTATTTTTTGTTTTGTTTTTGGTCTTAGTAATGGATGCCAAGGCACAAGGTATAACACATCTATCCTTTGGGGCCTAGTTTTCATTAACACTAAATTAAATATGGCATCTACCCAAAGGCAATTCTTTAAACCCTTATTCTCAAATATTTTATCAAATAAATCACATTGTGAGTCAAAACACGAAACAAGGGACTCTTGTATCGTTGAAGCTGACTTACGGCCCAGGCGTAGTTTGATGGACTGCAGTAACGTTCCTCGTTCATCATGGCAGCTGTAGTTGCCTTCCATCGAGTGTGTGGTGTTCAGTAGTGTAAGCGAGCCCTTGTGTGTTTGCCACGGCGGTACTGAGCTTATATATATAGAGAGAGAGAGAGAGAGAGAGGTTCATTCATTCATTCATTTTAATGCCATTAACATAACACCTTTTTACATGTAAAATTAAAACCATAAAGTGTCAGGAAATGTTTGTTCATTTGATTTGTTGCTGATTTGCATGTTATTTGCATATTGGTGTGGTGAGAAAAAAAATCATTGTAATTATACAGTTTGGATATGCATATACCACAAAGATTGCCATACATGTAGGCTAATAAACATTTTGTTTAAAAAATAAACTAATGTGCTACAAAATACTACAAATAAAATATCAATTAAATAATTAACTAACAGCTGTAAATACAAGATCTAATAGTTTCTCACATATAATATAGAAATAAATATATATATATAAATATAGATAGAAATAAAAAATGTAAATAAATAAAAAATCTAATCAAATTATATGATCAATTACACAGATTTTTTGTGGAGATTGACTTCTTGCAAAAACCATAAAGAATGCAAACTTTTTTAATGGTTGTGTATATTTATGTGCATTTGTATTTTATTTTATGTGTATTTGTATTTTGTATACAAATTTTAAATGATTGTCATAATTGTAGTTTTATTATGAACAACGCATAATTAACGTATATACTTCATAAGTGTTTTTTTCCAGACATTCCAAAATACAAACTTTTTTTTTTTTTGGCTGATTCCTAGGAATTATTTAATAACAAACTATGATATATTTGTAGGAAATAAATAAATACCATCTGACAGTAGCATTCAGCCTGTTATTATCAATAATTTCAAATAAGCTCTTCCCTTTACAGAACAAAAAAAAATCTCTAATCTCTAAACTCTAATCACTTAAAAACATTTACCCTTCAGAGTGAGAGTTTTGAGAGGAAGAAAGGTGGAGGGGACCAAAAAAAACTGTTCTTTGGAACGCTCTTCTGCAGCATCTTGTCAACTGTGTCATAAATTAAACCTGCGCAAAGAATTATGGAACCAAAAAGTGTCGAACAGCTGTACCCTTTAAAATCCTTTGTTCTGAAACAGCCCCTTTGGTTTGGAACAACCCTTCAATATGGCGTCCATGATTGTTCTCACTACAAAGTGCCCTTAGGAGGCGAATTTATCCCGTTTGGAATGCAGTGAAAATCTGTGGTTGGTGACATAAAAAGACAGTCAGGCCTATTCTTGGGAAGAATGAGTTAAAAAGTGGACCAGACTTTGTGCTTATATTTAATAGTCAGGCTGAGACTATAATGCAATGATTTTTCAATGGAAGCGTGACTGTATTTCAACGTCTTTAAATTATATGCAGTTTGACAAGCTCCAGTTTAAGAGTTGCTTCCTCAAAATCTGCTTCATCCGTTCATCATTATAAGGCTTGCAGAGATTCTATAGCAATAATCAAGGTGTTTACATTACTGTGCTTTTCTGCATAGTCAGATTTACTGCCAAGAGTTAAACAAAGAGCAGTCACACACACACACACACACACACACACACAGAGTGGAGTCGATCCAGTGCCCAGGGTCTAACTGCACTCACGAAACGCTCGTGCTCAATGTCGGCTTTCAGGAAATATTGGCAAAAGCATATTATTTGAAATCCCACCACATTTCTCAAATTTCTCCCTCTCTGGCCAGCGAAATCGCAGCCATAACACACACAGACCAGAGCTGCATGCATTAATTGAGCAGTCCATATGTGGGGCAATGAAGAACTGGGGACTTTAAACAGAGATGTTTATTGTTCCACAAAACAAAGCCATGGCTATGTTCCTGGTGTGGATTAAAAATTTCACATGATAAAACTTTGTGGTATCTGCTCTAGTTGTTCTGTATAATACCATCCTGCTTTGTCAACAAAGAAACGCTACAAAGACCTTTGACGAGATCCATATGCTGAAACACAATTCCAAATACTAACAGCAACAAAATGTGAATGCTAAGATGGCCAGCTATCGTGAAGTTATCAATCACAGGAATAAGGTTTAGTTTAACTTTATTGTCTGTCCAGATTTCCTGAACAGAAATGCATCTTTGACACTGGCATAGAAAATACATCCTAACAGATAATACTATACATTCACATCATATGTTAAAATACTTACAATCATCGATCTATAAACAATGGTTAGGACCCCCCTATCGATGCTAAAATTTCTTAGTTTCCTGAGTAGACCTAAACGCTGTCTTGCTTTCTTGTGTATATGGTCCACATTTTCCTGGAATGAGAGTTTGTCATCAATGATTGTATTCAAAATATTCAAAATCCAAAAATCCTTTGTCTTCTCAATGTTCAATTGTAAGTGGCTATCATCAAACCACTGAGCAAGACTTTCAATATACTCAAAATAAGTTAAACTATTCATGTCCAATTGGCAAGAGATTATAACCAAATCATCATTATTTTGATGAATGCAAACAATCAGCCAAACAAAATGCAAACAAACCTGAATGTCTATTAAAAATAATCTATTTTAAGATATATTTATGGGACCATTGGTACTAATTTGGCTAATATATAACAAAATTAAAAAATAATGCAAGTAAATAGGCCCTTGTCTTCTCAATGTTCAATTGTAAGTGGCTATCATCAAACCACTGAGCAAGACTTTCAATATACTCAAAATAAGTTAAACTATTCATGTCCAATTGGCAAGAGATTAAAACCAAATCATCAGCATATTTGATCAGGGTGAGATCATCCCTGTTACATTGAAGTTCATTAATATAGACAGAAAAAAGCAGAGGTGATAACACACATCCTTGTGGTAACTCTGAATTCAGGACTGTATGATCAGATGAAGTATAATCCATTGACACAGACTCGTTGGGGTCTATTTCTTAAAAAATAAACCACATTTTAAACTGTTAAAATAAAAAATAGTTATTTTAAATTGTAATATAATTTCACAATACTATCACTTTACTGTATTTTGGTCAAATAAATGCAGTCTTTCTGAGCATAAGCGTTGTTTTCCCAAAAATTCGGATGAAACAGGCTTTATACCAAAGACTTTAGGGACTTTGGATACATTTTTTAAAGTACGATTGTCACAATGCAACATTAAAATCTGTGTTTGCGATGCCGCTGATCCAGTGAGAGCAGCTGCCATGTAATTGTACAATGAAACAGCTTCACAAACAATCTTTTTAACCACACAATATTGTTATTTCTGTGTTACAATCATTTGAACAACAGAAGAACTGGGATAAAATAGTTTGGGTAGAAATACTGATGTCTATGGTACCAAAATAGACTAAAATTAACATTTTGAAAGCATTTTTACACTTGTATGTATTGTATTGGTCATCTTGGTACGCCAGTAGGTGGCAACAAAGTATTTGTCACTGTATCATTAAGTCAAGAGATTCATTCACAAACACTGATTCATCCGACAACCAAACAAGTCGTTATGAATGAGACATGGACTCATTCATTCAAATTATTCTTTAATTATTTTGTTCATGTTTTTGTCAGAACCTCTAGTAAATTACATGTTATTTTGTGATCATGATCTCAATTTTATTCGGTTTTATTACTTTATTTTTAATGGAGCGCCAGACCGCATCAGTAAGAACTTGGTCCTTTGTTCACTTCATTTTACCGCGGAATCATTTACAAACGCGGGATTTTCAAAAATATTGAAACTAATAGACAATGCTGTGTTGACGTTATTTGATCCGACAGTTATGTCGCACCACACAAGTGTGAGTAACTGTTTTTATTACGTGATCAATATTGATTTGTCAGTTATTACAGATTGTTTGATATGTACTGAGTATTTATGCGTTTTTAAACTAAATCACAGCAGTGTTCATCTATGAAGAATGTAGGCTGTCAAACATACACAACTATTAGTCAATCATAGCAGTAAGCATTTACTTCTGAGTCTTCCGCTTATTCAAACAGAGCGTTCTGATGAGGGGGGTCAAAACCAGGACAGAAAATAGCCTATTACTTCTAAATTATGTTTTTTAATGTAAAAATAGTGATATCATTATAAGTGGACCTCAGAGAACAGTAAAAAAAACGAAAACGAGAAAGGCAGTTCATGACCCCTATAAAAAGTGTGTCCTCTGAGCCCATTGAGTCTTAACAGACCCTCTAAAGCGTGCAGTGGGTTCATTGAGAATGAATGGGGGAAAGTCACATGAGAGGAGACAATTTCTCCATCGTGCTACAATTGGTTCATGAGATAAATCCCACCTCTTGTTTTCCTGTCTCTAAATCAGACTGAATAAACAAAGTGATGGGAAGACTCATTAAAAAGTAAACAACTCACACATTTAGGGGGGTGTTTACACGACACCATTTTCAACTAAAAATGGAAAATTTTCTATCCGTTTTGGCTGTTCATTTACATGACAACAGCATTTCATCAAACTGAAAATGCAAGCTTTTGAAAACGGGTTTCAAAGTGAAATTGTTTTGAAAACAATGCCGGCATGTAGTGTTTCTTAAGTGACATTGCCACCTACTGGCCTGGCTTGAATAATACAGTTTTTTTTTGTTGTTTTTTGGATCCATGTGAACAGGGATCGTTTTGACAATGTTGTAATCTGTACGCAAAACCTTTCAAAAACGCAAAGGAAAAACTTTCTTTAGTACATTCGTTGTTGTCAATGCACCCTTATATATCACCACTTTGTCACTACAAAATAAAACTTGTAATGGCCTGAAAACATGATCTATGGGGGTTTCAGTGATCAATCAGATTGGTGAAATTAAAGGTACATCTCCATTTATGTGACTAGCGTTCACCAAGCTTTGATGACTGAAAATAATTTGACTATTAAAACGAACAGCTGAACATCAGTTCGCAAATAAGATATATTGTTTAAATTGTACAGTTTAAATTGTTACTGCCTTGAGTTATTAATTTGGAATGAATGTAAAAATGCTTAAAACACTTGAAACAACTTAATGAGATACTTGGTTTTAATAAATAGAACCGTAATTACATTGTTAATGTAAAAAAATACTTTTTTTTTTTTGTAGTTCA